GGGCATGGGCGTTATTTCGAAACTTGGCCCGAATTAAGCTTAATTCGGGCCAAGTTTCGAAATAACGCCCATGCCCGCTATTTGAGATTTTACGGTATGAGCTTTTTGAGTTTTTTTTTTTTTGTTTTCTAGTACTGTGGTATTATTTCGCTAAGGGAAAATAAAGACTTGATTATGTGGTAATAAATCGCAGAAGAAAGCGCTGGTTAAGATTCTATGAAAGATACTAATAATCATTTGTAGAGCCTTACGTAAAAATACCATTTAATTTTAAAAATTAGTATTAGTTTTACGCGTAAAAAAAAGCGATTTATTTTTATTCTAAACGATACTACTATAAAAATTAATTTTTATAAATAAATAAATCAGAAAATTTTTTTATTTAAACAATAAATCAGAAAATTTTTTTATTTAAACAATAAATGTTATTATATTATTATTCTTTCTCGTTACTATCCCAATTTTCTATTTAGACAATTAAAAGTGAAATCCACAAATTACGCTAATGTTATACAAAAAATATTATAATAAAGCCTGTGCTGCTTTAAATGATTTATTAATAATATGATTTATAATTTCGTCTAAATTCATAGTAATGGCGGTATGGACAAATCCAGGTACTTTTGCTCTTTGAACACCAACCCATTCTAGAGGTGGTGTAGCATCTCCTAGATAACGCAATTGTGGTTCTAATTTCACTTGTTCTATTGGATTATATATTATAATATCCTTATTCTTAACTTCTTTTAAATCCTCGTTATCTGACGATGGCAATTCTATAGTAGGTACTGTATGTGTTGTTGCTGGAGATTGTAGCTGATTTCCCATGTTAGATGTACCGGGTGTATTAGGTGACTTTGGAACATCAGTACTATTCTTAGTACCATTCTTTTTCAATTGTTCTTTGTATAAAGCTGATAATTCTTGAATATATCTAATTAACCCAAAATTTAACGCAACATCAACTTTTCCGCCAAAGTGTACTTCAAATTTGTGATCAACGGTGTTACTTTCCATTTTTTGTGTAGTGTCCATAATTAAATTTGTATTAGGAAGAGTAAATATATTTTTCGAAGAAGCAGCCTCAACATGTTCAAACCATTTCGGAAGTGATAGTTCATTATCATCCTTGAGTTTGAGTTTCTTGCATGAGCTTTTTAATAATGCAATGCCATTGAGACGCATATTAAGTTCTCGATTAACTAGTTCATCTTTAATGGACTTATTCATATCCAAAATAAGTCCTTCAAATTTCGTCTGCAAACAGTCTATATCATAAAAGTTATTTGGATATATTGTTAAATATGCTTTATCCATCGCAATCGTGATCTTTCCAATTGGGTGAACTGTTAATCCACCAACCAACACCTCTTTGAAAGTCATTGTGATATCAGCTTTCTCGCGTGATAATTTATCAGAATTCGAATCATGTGATAAGGTCTCAATATTTGAGCTATTAAATTTAGAATCTAAAATTGCAGTAGCAGCAGATGATTGTTTTTCCTCAACCAACGCCAAAAGTTTGTTCAACATATGAAGAATTGTTGGTATGGTTTTTATGGTAGCAATTGCTTGAATTTGTTGTAATGATATATCTGCATGTACTAATACGGAGGCATAGGAGGCATCAGGGGCATTTTCCGGTGATACAATTTCCCAATTATCTATAAGCTTAAATTTCATCGGGTCTACGTCCAGTACTATGATTTTCTGAAATTCATATTCAAAAGTTGATTGAATCCTTTCTGTTTTAAACAACAAATTTGTCACGCTGGTTTTACTGTCTTCTTTTGAGCGTGGTGGAACTCCAAGTACTGTGGAAAAAGTAAGTCCGGCAATACTTGCATATCCAATAAGACGTCCTTCACATTTAATATTAAGAACGTCTGTGGACGCAATAAGCCTTTTTTGGGCGCCTGGTATATTCTTTGTACGAACTTGAACATTTTGAGTATCGAACAAAACTTTCCCAATTGCTTGACCAAGATCACTGGATAAATCCAGTCTATTCAATTTTACAAAAGCATAAAATGAATATGGCTTGACTTTGGGCTCTTCATCATAAGATGGCGAAGGTGAAAGCTGCCTTTTATTACTTATGAAATCCCCGCTAATATGTTGAGACAATTGTTGTTGAGGAGTTCCTTCGTATAATTTTGCAGCTTGATCAAACCATATAATCTTGAGAACTAACAGATCCTGCAAATAGCGAATATTTAAATCTGCGGAAATTTGAGGAAGCTCCACTATAATTGATATAGAATCATCAGAAACGTTCTCACTTCGCCTACTCATCATTGTTGCATTAAAGGAGATATCTTTTATTTCGGCTTTTACACAATCCTCTGGTGAGAAAGCATGTCGAATATTTCCTGATGCACCACTTATTTTGCCGACGCATGTAACGCTCTGACTACCTTCTTCTGCACTGCTTGAGGATATAAGAAAATTTCCTTCCTCCCAATTAAAGCGACAAAAAACCTTGGATATAGGTTTACAACTTAATTCAAAAGTAGTATGTAAAAGTTTGAAATGAAATGTTATGTTTAAACCCTGAATCGGTGATGCGCTTTCTTTAACTGCAATAGCTCTTTTATCGCTAGATTGCTGAACCCCTATTTTAAGTCCATCAATAATGTCCTTGAAAAACGGAACTAAGGAGGGAAAAAGTATATTTTCACTTGGATGAATTACAAGTTCAACATGTAAACGTCTTGTCAAAGAACTATTTTCGTTGAAATTATGAATTACATTTTCGCTCAAGAATGTTCGGTATATTGTATTTATGCTGAGACCAGGGATAATAATAGTATCTATCCCATGTTCCTGTATTGACACGTCATCAAAATTAACATCTAAATTTAACTTTGGAAGTGAAGCAATGCTGCCACGAGAACCCCTAGCTGATCTTGACTTATCGGACAATTTGCTTCCAGTAGGTCTTCTACTGTGATTTCTGGAGAAATAACTTTTCGGATATAATCTTATTGTTCCGCTTTTAGCAGTAAATGCGACCTCAAATTCCAAATCAATAACATCTATATCCTTTTGTAAGTCGGTATTATTACCTACACTTACTGGCTTTTGTTCAGATCCCGAATTTAAATTTGATTCAGCTGCAAATGTTTCTAATCGTTCTCGGCTTGTAGCGTAAATTTCACCAAGGCAATTTATATGTGTAACAATATTACTAGCAATATCCATTTCAAATCCTTCAACTCGGGATTGAATATCAAATTTTTTCCTATCTGTAGTACCGGAACTATACCCTTCGCACGAAATTTCTGGAAAATAAACTCGATTCATTTTAGAATGAACATAAGAAGAAAAGAATTCTTCTTTTCTTTGATCAAATTCCGGTACAAATTGAAAGCATAGATCCTTAAGTGTTGCATAATTAGATTTCCACTTTCTCGTTATGAAATTCATTGAAGACGCGGAAAAGATAAATGCTGGTACGTATGATTCACCCGAATAATTATTCATGGCTGTGGAAATAGAGTTTTCCTTTAAATCTAACGGAAGTGCCACTGCAAATTTCATAATTTCAAGCGATAACACTTTTTCATTTAATAAAGTTTTACTCTTTGATTTATATTTCGGCATTTCTATATTGAATGATTTCCACAATCGTCGTGTACTTTCAGCCAATTTATTGATTTCGGACGATTTCAGATTTTTTCTACGTTCTAATTCTCCACTATAATATGCATATACGTCCATAAGACGACCCAGTGCAATAGGCTGCATTACAGCATTAGCTTTAGTTAATTTTAAAAAATATGATTCTGTAATGTCCTCTAATGTTAAGTTTTGCTGCTGCTGTTTACTCCTAAAATTTTGTAATTCTAAATCAATTATAATATATGCTATTCGATATTTCTTAACATCATCATCCGTAGCTAATTGTCCTCCAATTCTTTTATTATGATTAAGCGAGAGTGAAAATTTTTTTGCAGAGAAAAACCATTCAATTTTCGTCGATATGGCGTCTTCGGGCCTAAGTATATTAGTAATATGTCCATTTAGAATGTTTGTTTCAAAAAATCCAATTGCAGTAGGACTCTCGGCAGTTATTTGTAGACCTCGAAGAGATATTTTGAGATTATAGTATAATTTGTCTTGTTTACTCGGATCTATTTGTACGAGCGAAGAACTCTTGTCCTTGGAAGCAGCTTCACGCGCCTTTAGTTTCTTTGATGAAAAAACGAAGACATCTAAAACATCATTAAATTCATTTCCAAGAAGTGATTGTGCCGTTAATAAATTGTCAATTATATTCACGTTCAAACTTAATTGTACAAAATCTAAGGTAACTGTTGACTCCAACTTTAAATGTTTCGGAGTAATATTTGATGTGGATCCTAATGAAATATTAGACGCAGACTCAACAGGACTAGTGTTCTTTTTGATGATGACATTAGCGTTTTTACTAGGTTCAAATGGTTTTATTTTGCCAGTTGCTCTTATAGCTGGTATGGTGAATGCAGCTTTCTGTAAATTATCATCAGGTTCCTCCATAATAGATTTTTCATTTTGGCTCGATTTACTCGGATTTTTTTGACGTGTCACAGTCACAAAGTGAATCTCTTGTTTTGCCAATTGACCCAAATATTTTGTCAAATTTCCGCCATATAAAGAGTTTCTCTGTTCCAAAATCATAAGAAAATCCCACGCGTCATAATGAAAACGCAGAGATGGGAGCAGCTGAGTTTGCAAAATAAGTTTTTTTAGCAGAAATTGAAATTTAAAATCAAAAGCATTTTTTTTATCATTCTTTTCAACAAATCGAACGTTATGCGGTGTTGGAGGTCTAAGTATTTTCCTTTGTTCTTCAAACTCATCTTTTAAGTTTTTGTATAAAAAGTCATAACTGGGTAAATTTTCCTCTCTCCATTCTTCGACAAAGTGATAAAGTTTGAGAAGACTTTGCGGCAATTTTATAGAAATAGATTGAAGTGACAAAAAAACATTCAACACCTTTGGTAATTCAATATCTAATCTACTCTTTGGACGACTAAGGGTTGGAGAACTGATAGCTATACTAGAATCTACACGCGTAAATTCAATAGATAATAAAGTATTTGGACCAGCAGAACTGGATATCTTTTCTTTGATATTGATTAAAATATTTCCAATTCCTCCAATAGCCGAAAATATCAAACTTTTTGAACCTTTACTACCACTACTCTTTGATCCAGGATGTGCAGTACTCTTGTTAACCGATAAACTTTCAAATTCTGACTTTTCGGCAGAACTCAAAGTTTTTGGATTATGTAGCCAAACCGAACTATTAATGTTGGATAACTGGATAAGTGCAATTAATTTTTGTGCAGAGGCTGTTATTGAAATTTTCTTAATAATCATTATCCCTTGAACATAGATATTAACTCGCGATAGTAAATCTTTAGCTTGAAGTGTATCTTTCTGTTTTACATCGTTAAGCTTGACAACATTTAATTCATTCATACTAGCAATAGATCTAGTTGACTTGTGTTTATGATGAGTATTGGACGAAGAGGAAATTTCCTCATTCAAAGTTGGCGGTGACTCCTTACTTGATAAAGATTCAAATTTAGATCTGAAAATTCGATGCACCTTGAGCCAATGTTTGGCGAAAGCAAGCATGTCCGGATTCACATCTATACCAATCTGTTCCACACCACATCGCATAGTAACATTCAAATCTCCCGAAAACATTTGATGAGGAATTTGAGATTGAGATTGCCCTGAAGTTGTGCTAAATGATCCAGGACCTGTGTTTGATCCGAAAGATGACAAACTGTCATCTTGATAAGTTGTTTCAAAATCAAGTACTATAGGCCCTAGTCCTACAGAATTTTCACGTTGTGATTCCCATACTGACACTGAAACGTTTCCAATTCTTAATTTGAAACAATTTAATGAAGCTTTTAAAAATGGTAGAATATCTTCAACTGGATTATTCGATGAGCTTAAATCCTTTGTTGGTTGTCGAAAAAGGTCCGTAAAGAGTCGACAATTTGATACATTTTCTATTTCCCAATTCCTCCACTGTGAGAAAACATTTATCACCTGTTCATACATCTCATTTTGATTCAAAGACGGATGATCAGAAGAATTCAAAATTACTTGCAATTTTTCAAGTTGATCTAATTGCATCTGTTTCTTAACATATCTAAGACGACCAAGCATTTTCCATCCATCATCGTTTTTTAAATTTTTTGCACTTAATCGAAGTACATGAGATGGTGTAGCTAAATATTGTGGATCACTAGTTACATCCTTAGAATGTTTTGCAATTTCATGAACTAATATTTGCGTTTGTCGAATTCGATGAGTTTCAAATTTTTTCAATATATCTGAAAGATCTTTAGCAAATACAAGCCACCAATATATTGCCCCGGTTAAAATTTCAGGTGATTGATTAATAAAACAACTAAAAACATTATCAAGATCAAAAGAAAAATTATTTGATTTAATACCACCATTCCATTTTAATTTAAGTCTTTCTAAAGAAATATTTAATACTACAGGATCATTATTTAATTGTTCAGATGAAATAAAGCCAGTTTCTTTAAATTGATGCATATTCTCGGGAATTCCAAAAATACCAATAGTATTTGACCCAGTAACAAAACGTACATTTAATCTTAATGAATTAAATTCTAAATTAGCACCTGATTCAACTAATTTTAATGATCTTTCAAAATTTTTTAAATTTTCTTTACAATCAAAATTTTTATTTTGAAATTTTATTAGACCATTCATTAAAATCTTATCTATAACAAGGTCAGCAGCAGCGCATAATATAGTATCTGTCAAATCATATCTCGCTCTAACACTAGGATATTCATCATTTACATTTGTTAAATCATCCGGAAGCATTACATCTTGTATAAAGTGTAAATGAACTTTATGAATAGATATACCAAAACTTGTGGTTGAAAATTTGAAGGGAAATAATTTTGTAAGTTCCCCTACATAGTCCATTTGCATTTTATCAAACATAGCTTCCATGTTCCAATCCTATATTTAATCATTAATAATAAATTTAGATGAACGTACAGTACGGTATAGTTAAAATTAATTATCAAATTTGCAAACCTCTTTTTTAATTGCTTCCAAAAACTCTTCCACAATTTTCAAGAAAATTGGAGTTAATAACACTTTTACAGTTTTAGTAGTCTCAAATATAATTGTCATTTTCTCCTCTGCTTCATCTTGAGTAGTTGGCGATTGATCCGGAACTATATCGTCTGATGATGTGGTACTTTCATTCATTAATTTTAAAAAAGGTGATGATTTGAAACTTGGACTTTTCTCATCAGGAGATAGTTCCGCATCCTATAATTATATATAATAATAATAAATAAGTACTTAAAATCACAATTTATAAATATTACTTGATTTTGTATCGTAATAATTACTCTTGCAGGTATGAATGACACGCGGGGTGGTTGAAGAAATGAACTTTGGAATGGAGCAGAAGAAGATCTCAACGAAGACTGTTTATATCGCCTTAAATAACTTCCATATGGAATAGACTTGGCAACTGGTGGGGACATCGAATAATGATGTTCATCAGGGGACAGTTCCGTCTTATTCACATAATAGTCACTATCAGAATCTATGAATTGAATTATAAGTAGAAATATCTTTGTAAGATAATTAATAAAAAACAGTGACATTCTTTAACTGTTAATGAAATTTAATATTATTTTACCATCAATAATGATTGGAGTATTATGCCCAATGGTTTCATCATCGTTATCACTTTCATTAAAACTTTCTTCTTCTTCTTCGTCACCGTCTGACGCAGTCACAAATGATGCATTTGATACACTAACACCCGACCCAGTAATTATAGATACGCTGTAATAATATAAAAATGAAGGTTATAAAATGCTCGCGTAAACAAAAAAAAAGCCTCTTTGTTACATGTATAATACAAACTTGTCATCATCGGTTCGTAACCACATATCGTCATCACCGTGTTGGTCAAATATTAACATATTTTTGATGTTTATTCTATTTTGACTTGTAGAAAGGTCGACCATTGAAGAATTTGCACTTTCATTGTTTAATACAGAATAAACGTCTGTATCATCTAAACGAATAATGTAAATTGCACCATTAAACTCCATTATTAAAATTCATTATTTAAAAAGGATGTATAAAAATAAAACTCTACTCACCAGGTATTGGCGTTGGCATTTGTGGAACATAAAGTGAACCAAAATGATAGCCATTAGAAGATCCTAATGAACCTAGAATAAAATTATTACACGTAAGATCAATATAGTATAAAAATAAAAATGAAATCTAATGTACTAACTTTGGTCACCGTTTCCATTTCCATAAAGAAACGGAATTCTCAAAGTTTCCTTATCTTGTTCTTTTAAATGCTCCTGTTGACTTGCAAACCTCTGTTGCCAACCCGATATAGTGCGATATAAAGAGACATTAAAAGCACATTCAAAACTTGCGACCTCCACAAAAGGATGACTATCAGCATCCTTAACATGATATACACTATTTAAATTAAAAGCAGACATTGCTAAACTTCTAACTACTAAATCAGGGAGTTCAATTAATACTCTTTGAGTATATTTTTCATTGGCAAGGTCATCAAATTTAACACATAAACCTTCTTTAAGAAGAATTTGAGAAACACTATCTCCTCCCCAAACAGATATATCAACTTCTTTAATATTTAAATTTAAAAATGTTACATCTGCTTCAAGAGGGTTCATGAAATCTGGAGGCAAAGCATTCTCATCGTCTACATAATGATATCCAAACGCTTTTCCAAAAGAAGTAGTACTTAACAAAAATGATGGTCTCAATTGTCCAGATATTGTTCCAATATTTAATTCCCAATTACAAACGTAGGTAGCGGTCTTGGGTAAAGGGCCAAACAAACGATGTGCATGTACATTTAAATCTAAATTAAAGTTGTGATATGTTTAAATTACATTGCAAATTGCAAAAATAACAATGAAATCAAAAAAAATTTTCTTAACCATCAATGAACAAATAATTAGTATATTCTTTTGATAATCGTGATTTAGATGTAGTTTTCACATCGGAACCGAGTGTCCATGTTAATGGGCTTATAGTCAAATCCATATCTAATGTAATTGTAATATAAATTTATGATAATCCATTCACAACTCAAATAATCTTTATTAAATAAAAATTCATACAAACCCATATATACATCCAAATTTCTTAATTCTAACTGCAATTCATTAAAATGAATTCTTGAAGACTGTTCATCAGCATTATACAAATTCTCGGGAAGTATAAAAGTGCCATCTTCAATGATAAACGTCACATAGACTTCATACGGGTCTGCGGGCGGCTTAACAAAATAAAATCAATTTTACAAATCAACGCAACACATAGTAAGAATATAAATATTTTACGATTATGAAAAGAATAAAATACCTTTACGGGCTGTGCCGGACGTTTTATTGTACCTGTCACATTTTTTGGATCATGTAAATCAACATATTCCTTCAATTCGCAAAAATTTATATAATTTCCTGCATAATTCATTTGCAAAATTATGAAATAACGAATGACAAAACCAAATAATTTCAAATTGGCCTCTTTTCCCTACGAACAAAAAGCAATCAACGAGTGATTTTGAAAGAAAAAATTTTTAAGTTTATAAAATAACATTCATACAAACCTTCAGAGTCATAGACAACGATTCCACATGATTGGGATGAATAAAACTGTAATATTGAAAATTTCCATCCACACTAAAACTATTAACTTGGAAAAAGTCTTTACTATATTCGCTAAGAAAAGTTCCCAGTGTTTGAGATACTTGTGGAGACATAACAATTCTCCCATTTGTTATCTGTATTAATAAAAGATCATTTTAGACAAATATTCAAATTACGATAATACAGTATATAATTTATCATTAAATAGTAACAACTCACTTCCATATCAAATAAAATTTTTGTTATTTCTTGATTATAGCATAAAAATGGTGCAACAATATTTGATACTAATCGTGATCCCCTTATGATTAAAAATGCTAATTGAAAAATGTTAACGTTAAGACAACAAATATATACATAAACAGATTTAATTAAATGTATCAAACTTACTATTTTCGCCTATATCCGTTGGATCATTGATAATATTATGCTCATTGACATAAAGGTACAATTTGAAATTTGTAAATCGAGGATTAAATTTATACTTAATAGGAATAAAATGTAATTTATCTGGCGAAGGCCCAGAAGTCCAATCCTTAATCAAATCCTGAAATAATGTAATGTGATCTCTAAGCAAAAAGATTTCGGCTTCCATAAAATAAATATCAAACTCCCATGTACGACTTTGATTCCAGACTAACGGACTTGGTAAATCACATTTTATCTGAAAAAGAATGAAACCATTGGATATGTGTAAACAAAGTACGATATTTTAAAAATAAAATATTAAAAATAATAAACACCTCGCACTTTTCAGCCTTTATGAATCGGGAGTCATTGACGCTTGTTTGCGTATCAACGTCCTCAAGATGAATTACTAGATTATTTGAATATCCTTTATCAGTTAACACCATAGGCGCTATCATAGTAATAGTAGAATCGCCTTTGGCAACAATTTCTAACCACCCATATTGCCTTTGGCTACCATGGATTTGAAAATCTTCTAGGCTTTCATTCTGAGAATACTTCCAATCCTAATTAAACATTATGTAAATTAATAGATATATATTAGAATTAATCAGTAAGAATAATCATAGTTCAGTAGACAATGATATAAAACCTTTGAAATTTCTCTTAAAGGAACTCTAAGTGTTACTGGACCATCAAACTGAACAAAAACTCTAAATGAAGTATGCAATCTAGTTTGTCCGGGAGATAGTTTTTTTGTTTGCTCAGAATTTCGATATAACGGCGGAAAAAAAAAATTTTGAAGGATGGTTCTGATTAAAATATAGTAGAATAAATTTAGTAAATTAATAAAATATACGCCAAAAATACAATCATCACATTACCTTTGTCGGTCAGCCCATGGGCCGTAATTAATTTGTGCCCCTGTAAAATTAAGATCTACGCCCCATTCTGGAGATAAATCACCGTTACCGATATCTATTTCTTCTGCGTTTAGTACAGGCGTTAGAGGAACACTACCTATACCCGATATAAATGATAAATATATATCTCCAAAGGTAAATACACATAATTATTAATTATTGTCAATAACAATATACCAGCAACATCAACATAATAAGTCATCTCCATCAAAAGACAATCTAGCACTGTTGATACTTTCGCATATTCATCAGTTACTACGCCTTTATTATCTAATTCTTCAGTCCGATATGTGAGCTTTTGTTAAGGAAAAAAAATTTAAAAAATAAAACTACAAATAAATATGTTGCATAAGGATATCTAGGAAGTCCATGCCACTCAGTAGGACCAACTGAGCTAGAAATATTTAAAAATGGAATAAAATCCGAAAACTTTTGAAATAATGTTGGACATTTATTCTTATTTATAGAATCCCTTTTTATAAATTCAAATTAGAGAATTTAGCATATAGTAGAACACATTTACGTATATTTAAAATTTTTTACTTACATTTGAACGACATTTTCACCTCCTAAGCGTGCACCCTTATCCAAACAGGTTTCTTTATAATCCGGATTGGTTTTTAGAAGAATCTGCGGTTCTCGAAAACTCATATATGTAATTGATTTATAATAATCATGTTTTGATCTTGACTATATAATCGAAAAAAGGTCACAAATATGTAGAACAAAATAATTTATACTTTAAACATATACTTTAAACATATACTTTAAACATATACTTTAAACATATACTTTAAACATATACTTTAAACATATACTTTAAAC